ATAAACAAATCAAATGCAAGCAAGATGCCTACAAACGTTTACCGCATTCCCTTAAAAATCTTCATCCCTAATTTGGGAATCATGGATTCACAAAGCAAACATATATGGTAACTCTTGGACAGATTTTTAGATAGGCACTGACTTTCTTTTTTTTCTTTTTCTGGTGATAACAGTAGTCATTAAATATGCATTTAGTGGGTCTGTTGGAGGGAAAAGACGATTATAGGTCAATTCAAACAGGTTTGTAATATAACTATAGAGGATAGCTAATACTTTAAAATTAGTTTTTTGTTTCTACTTTTGTATTTACTACTTATAAAATTAAATAAAGTTATTGGCAGTGCCACATCGTTAAAAAAAATGATTTTGACCATTTCGACTATTTCAGATATCTGAAATAATCCATTTCGACTTCATGTATAGTAATAATATTATTATAGTTATTATATTTAATTTCATCATTTAAGGTTACAATTTTTCGTAGTATTAATTTATTTACCTTCATCACTTGAAGCTAGTTCTATGTTAAATTTGATCAAATTTAATTTTTAGTAAATGAAATTTTATTATTATAATATTAAATATGGTTAATAAATAATATATAGAAAGAAGTATCTTCTATTTTTTCTAAAGAAAATGTTTTCTTAACATTTGAAACTGGCTCTGTGAATTTATGGAAAAAATTTTTTAGAAAATCATCCTGAGCTTTACACCTTTTATTCCTTTTTTTATTTGATGAAAATGTATTTAAATCTATCATTACTATAATTTATCCATTTATATTTACCTTTATTATTACTATCAAACATTATTATAAATTTGTAAAATAAAAATTTGTTAAAAAAAAGTAAATAATAAATTCAAATATTATTTTATATAATGTTAATAGAATATAATAGTGATATATATTATATTATTAGATATAAAGATCTAAATTACAATCGGATGCTGTGGTATATATATTATACAATGTGTAATGATAATTTATTATATTATTAACAAATATTTAAGCATATACTATTATAGAACTTAACTTACTTAATCTTTAATTCGCATAAAATAATAATAATAATAATAATAATAATAATAAAATGCATTTCTATATTTATATTACATAATTGCGATCATAAACATATGTGATGTTTGTATGTTATTTGATTATTTGAGATGTTTTAAAAGCAAAACAAAATGAATACGTTTGCAAAATATACAGAAATCCTATATAATAAAACAGAGTTTGTAGGGGTGGTGATCGGAGGCGAGAAGGTAAATATATTTTTTTGTGCAGTTTTTATGAAATTCAAGTGCAATTTTGTCTCTAATAAAACTAACTCAATTTTTATTCAATTGGCATATATAAATATTCGTTAGGAAGAGAATAAAATTGTGGATGAAATAGTATATTAATATTATCAAATTAATAATTGATTTATTAAATAATATTACTTTAAAATTAGCATTTCTTAAGATATTTATTATTGAATCATTGGCTTTTTTTTAAAAATTTTTATACTAATATTAAAATTTTTATAACATGATGATAATTTGATATACTGATATTATTTCTCATAATACCATTATTGATATATAGAAATTTGACTGTAAATTGTTTGCAAGTTTTTGTTTTACTAATAGTAATAATTAGATTTGAAAATAAATATATATATTCTAATTGATGTTCAAATATTTCAAAATTAATAATACTTTATTTTTATTATTATTGAATTTTTCTTGAGTTTCATATTAATAGTTATGAGAAATTATAAGTTACTATTATATTTGCAATAAGATACCCTTTGATAGTTCTGATGATTAAATTTTTTACTATCATAGATTATTCTTAATAATATAAAAAAAAATTTTAGATTTAAATAAAACTAAAATTTAATTTAAATATCACTGATCAAAATCAAAAAAATTGTCATTAGTTTTTAATTAAACATTTTGACTAAATTCAGAAATCTAGTCTTTATATTTATGACAATATGCATAAATTTAACATTAAACAAATTTGTTTAATAAAAATGAATCAAAATTAACTTCAATTAGTCTAATCAAATTATATTAATTGAAAATATCATCTTAAAGAAAATAATATAAATTATTACAAAGAAAATCATACAAATTATTAAATTCAAGTCTTTTTTATTATTTGGCTTAAATCTAACTATCTAAAGGTTTTGATATCAAACTCGGCTTAAAATTAGCCTTTCAGATACCAAAAATTAAACTATTTAATATAGTCTTTCTAACCTAATTTTAATAAATCAAAAAAATCTATTATGCTATTTACCTCCCAAAAGGCCTATCAAAAATCAAGTAATAAAGTGACATGATTTGAGATAAGCTTAACCTTGTAAGTCTAAAATGCATATCATATTTCATGATATTCTAGAAATAATTCTAAAGCTGATTTATAATTGTATTCATAGGATTACTAAGTTTTATCTTTAGGATGTAAAATTTTTCATATGACTTGACTTATTAAGTTATACGAAAAAATAGATACTAAAAATAAACTTTAAATATTATTTCATTTCATTTCAGCTATATTTCAAAATTATATATACAGGAAAACATTTTATTAAGAAATTTATTAGGTCAAATAACTCATATGAAAAATTTTATAAGCAAGTTATATAAAAAAATTATAATAATATTGTTCTCTAATTGTCAGTTCATATTATTTTTATTATATTTCAAAATGATAATACATAGAAAAGCATTTTAGAGTTAATTCATTTAGAAATAATTAGGGTTGCAAAATTATATGAAAAATTTATACACTAAAAGTTATATGAAAAATTCCTAGCTATTCTAAATATTAGTGTTTTGTACAGATCAGAAATATGGCAAAAATGGGATTTTTGGGACAAAAATCCAAAAGATATCCAGAAAGTTTCCTGTCCGCCTATGAATCCATTTTAGCTATATAAATCAACTATCAAATTCAAGCCTTTATACCATTTTGACTCAAATCTAGATAATAATATCAAACTTGGCTAGGAATTAACCTATCTGATACCAAGAATTACACTGATTAATATAGCTATTCTACCCTGATTTTAACTCCAAATAATATAACAAAAAATTTTACTATTCTATTTGCCTCAGAAGTGGTCACTGAAAATCAAGGAACAAAATAAAGCAATTTAAATCAGGCATGATATTACAAACCCAATATGAATAATAACTTTTATGCTATTCTGCTTAACTCAGAAGAAAGACATTGAAAACCAAGGAACAAAGTGACGCTATTTGAGCTAAGCCTGATCATATAAGCCTAAAATGCATACTATAAGATAAGTCTAACCTCTTCAAGGTTGGTTTTATCTGTTATCTAGTTTGCAAATCAAAAGCTTAATGATTATGTTCTAGTATATTATCAATTTATCAACATACAGGAAACTATTTTAGAGCCATTTCCTTTTCACAAATCTGAGATAAAAAAGTCTAATCTGTCATCTACCTATATGCGAAATCTAACTGCAAAAAAAGTCTAAACTCTTAACTAACTATATAATAAACCTATTTTTTACTAAAAATCTAACCTCTTCAACACATATCAAACATCAGGGCCTTATCCTGAAGTCTATTAATATATTAAATCATATAATAGCCTCTAGTATGAAGACGATAATGACTACAAAATAATTCAGTAGGCTTACCATATCCTGATTTCATGCAAGACTAGTGCCTTTTAGCTTTGTAATGCAATCGACAACTTTCAGATTGAGTACAGGCTTTACCACAAGTTTTGTCAGAGTTATGAAGATAATTACAAATAAAATCCGCTTTCATTTTCTGAATATATATATATATAAATAATTTTAATTAAACAAATTTTTATACAATATAGTAATACAAACACCTTCATAATGAGCACACAAATTCTATTAACTGAAAATAAGCAAATCCAAAAAATTAAAACCACTTCTCAGTAAGTCAAAAAGGCTTTAATCAAAGTGCTTAAGGTAAGGATTCTCTGTGAAAGACCAAAAGATGATAAGTTAATGCAAAATTATAAAAAGCGTATTCTAGAATTACGTCAGACAAAAGATCCCAAATCATGTATCTTAGAAAATGCGAGAAGACTATTTGCAACAAAAGACAAATATAAGTAAGTTATTAGTGATTATAAATCTTATTATAATAAAGATTTAAAATTCTTAATGCTGTTATAGAACTATATGGGTTATACCAATGATGGGTTTTGGACTTATTTTTTAATTTTAAATATTTTGGACAAGGTTTTGGATATATGAAATTGTGTCCAAAACCTGTCCAAAGTCTGTCTAAAACTGTCTAAAACTGTCCAAAATTGTCCAATTGCCCAACACTGGGTTATACTATAGGTTAGCTAAGGATTATTTTATTACAAAAGAACAAGCTGATAAAACACTTGAGGATTTTTTATCATGTAACCACCCATCAAGGTGATAGCTAAGCTTCTTTAATAACCATCAATCTTTTTCTTATAAAAGATATTTTTGGACTATTGCCTCAGTCAATATAAGACTAGTTGATTTTTTTGCACTAAAGATTCACAGATATGATAGACTTGAGAAGACCAGATTATATCTTCAGCACGTCTTCTTTCACCTTCTAACTCATCTGGTTTAAGTAAATATTTTACAAGAATATCATAAGTTAATTGCTTCTCATAAAACCTCATAGGCCTATTTTGAGGCTTAGAAGGTTTTGCATAAACATGCTTCAATTTTCGTGTATTAGCAGGAGAAATACTTAGAAGATGAGTCATAGAATTATTAAGATTCTCAAGAAAAAATGGAAGGTTTCTAACTCAAGCTCAACAACGTTCTGATATAGGTAATCTCATATCAACAGCATCTTGAATAATAGATGACCATTTTTTAATGTCTTATTAAACCTTTCAGTAATACTTATACTTTCTTTAGAATTAGCTATTAGAATATTGATACCATATTTATTTATTAATCTAATAATATCACCCCGAAATTCAACATCCCCATCAACCATTAGATCTTTTTTAGGCCAAGTAAGTGGACATTTTTGGGAGTTAAAAGTTTCTCAAGGCCTATAGTAACACTAGCAGAATCACGTTTATAAATTTTGTTTCCAATTTGATCATAAAGCATATAGCATAAATCAGCTTGAATAACCCACATAGGTATAGTAATATTAATGAAAGATGCACTTGGAATATTTCTAG